ATTTTACGTATTATTTTGTACAATTAGAGAAATCGAATAACAACATTTTTGCAAGATAAGGAAAAAAAAGACTTGTCATAATACTTTAAAAAAATCTTAATATTAAAAGTACATCAATACTTGTTATTTTTTATAATTTAACTCTTAAAAACGCTTTTTGTTAAAAGATTTTAACCAAACTCAATTTGCATATGAAAAATACTTTTCAAACAAATTAGCCAAATATAAATTGCTTTTTTTTCAAAAATGTTTTTCTAACAAGATATTCTTAAAAAGTACTTATGAAAATAAATGATTTTTTGACAGTAACACCAAACAGACTCATAATATAATTTATTATTTTATTTATTGGTCAATCCTTGAAGTAAAGATATACGATGAAAATAAAATAAAAAAATAATTTTTCTTATATAATTAGAGAGATAAAAGCTTAATATAAGAGGTGTCACCAAAATAGTTTAATATTAGAACATAAAAATTAACTAAATAGACCACACATAAATATGGTTAAAAATGTGGGTTACCTATATGGATTCGACTACGTCGGAAAATGGTGGGTTGATTTTAGAATATCGATAGATTCATTGTATATATCGATAGATTCATTGTACATATCGATAGTTTAAGATTTAATAGCAGATACATATATAAAAGTATGAATTATTCAGATTAAATCAAAAAAATCAAATCAAACTGAATTGACCTTTGATTTGGATGGATTTTGGATCGAGAATTAGTTTGTTATTTGATTAATTTGTTTGATCTTGGAATTAAAAAAATAAAAATAAAAACATTTTTTATTATATCTTATTACTTATATAAAATTTAGGTTTAAAATTAAGATTCCTTTTTTTTAGTTTAGAATTAAATTGGAGTTCACCAATTTCGTCCTTTTTTAGTTATCGTCTTTTATTATGCTCTAGTTTATAGATTATGTTTAAACATTTATAATTGATCATTGATATACTTTTAAGTATCATGTTTTAAGTTTTATTTGTGTTTAAAAATAGAAAGTACATTTAAGAGATTCAATATTATTATGTTTCTCCTCTTATAGAAAGTACATGTAAGAGATTCAATATTGTTCATAGTTATGATTGAAAAATTAAATCGTATCGAAATTTGAATCAAATAGATTAAAGAAAATTAACATTTGATTTCATTTTAAATTTTGAAAATCAATATATGACAATAAACTCTAACTTCACGGCAAGATACACAACTATTTAAAAATATAAGTAGAATTATAAAGGAAAAATTGTATATAATAGCAAACAATTCAAATTAAATGTTATAATTATACTTTGATTTAATTGTATCCTATAGTGAACTATAGCTATTTTTGTCACTCTCCTTGGTGGAATCTCGCTCACCACTCTCGTTTGGTGGCAGTCTCGCTCGCATCTCGCTTATTATACATACACAAATATATAAAATGTGTCTGTGTTTATATAAAGCGAGAGGAAGTTGTATAAATACATATATTTTCGTTCCCCTCTCTCCCCTCTCCCAAATCTCGCTCATCACTCTCCCTTATCTCGCTCGCCACCGTCGCCTCTCTCACTTATTCTAACAGAAATAAAATGTATAAATTGCATTTCTGTTTGTATAAAACCTAGAGAAAATTGTTTACACATGCAAATACATATATTTTCGTCCTACACACTTCTAATTATACAATATAAATACTCCCCTGTCCAATTTCTTTTGCCTTTCTCTCTTTTTCGTTTTAGACATATTCAAATTGTATATAATTTCTCTCTTTCTTGTTTTATACAATTCGATTCATGTATATTCCCTGCCCAAGTCTCTTTTGCCTTTCTCACTTTCTCATTTTACAAATTCAAATTTTATGTAATCGTCCTATACACTTATGATTATACAATACAAATATTTCCCTGCCCAAGTCTCTTTTGCCTTTCTCTCTTTCTTATTTTATACAAATTCAAATTGTATATAATTTCTCTCTTTCTCGTTTTAAACAATTCGTTTTATACATTCAATTGTATATGTATAGCGAATTATACATATATATGTTTGTTATGGAGCGCAATTAAACAAAAATTTGCTATAACATAAGACATAAATTTTGTGTTTGCTATATGTGAAAATTGTCCTATTATAAAATATAATATGAATATATATCTAATAAAGTAATTTCTCTAAAAATAAATAATGTAAATATGATGAGGCCTAACATAACATGCTTAAGTTTTGACTGATTAATAATAGCCCATCCATTTGTTAACTAAGTTTGTCTTAGCCTGCTCTTCAACCTATCTAAAGTTGAGTTTATTCGATTTTAATATATATATAGCCCAAATCAAATCATGAAAAATTATTTAAAAAATTGGTAAGATTGATTAAGTTGAATTGTCACCCAATATTTAGCCCATCTTAACCTAATACATATTAGCCCAAGTAACAGTTTAGCAGATCAAGACTTATTTGTGTTTTTATTAACGAAAATTATTGACGTCTTATATTTTCCTTATTTTCAATATCTTCTTCTATTTCTAAAAATCTCTAAAATATCTTATTTCTTTAATGAATTCGAGCTACATATTAATGTATCCGAGCTGCATATTATGTATCGGTTTATCTTATAACGTATCGAGTTAGTTTTAACGTATCCGAGCTAAATATTATGTATTGGTTTATGTTATAATGTATAAGAGATACTCTTTAATGTATACGATCTACATATTAATGTATCTTATTTGTGTTACTTACTAAAGTAAGGAATTAACGTAATTACAAACTAAAGAGGAATGGATTGTAATTTCATATTAAAACTATGTGATTTCTAAAATTTATCCTATTCTTTAACTTAATTGGGAAGATTATTTCATGAACACTCACCTTCCTGGTGCTGTTAATCACAATTTTTAGGGATTATATATATTAATTAATTGATTAATTAATATATCTAATTCAGCATATTATATAAGAATGATATAATAGTTTGCAATAAAAATTTTTCTAAAAAAGTATTGGTGTGGTTTTCCTTTTTTTTAAAAAAAAAATAATAAAAAATTTATAAAGATGAATTGTTCATCCTTCATGTAACTAAGGAGGTTTGGACAAATGTATAGCCTGTTTAATTTGGTGATTAATACAAAGATTGGGCTTACACCCAATTCCATCAACAATATGGTTTAATAAATTATTTTCTCTCATTACTTTTATTTGTTCACTATTTTAATAATAAATTTTTATTTTTATTTGTCACTTTTAGCATATTAAGAAAGAACAATTTTCTCTTCATATTTAACGCTTATCAATAGTTATTTATTTCCCAAATTATTTTGTAAAATTTAATATTGAACATCAATTATTAGGGATGATTTGATGAAATAGTCATATTAATTGTTATTTTCTTAATTGATATATAAAATTTAAATATGACAAATAAAAATTTAACGAAAAGGATAATATAATTTGGTATGAATACTAAATGCAAATTTATTATTATTGCGAGTTCTTTAAATGCAAAAGTACTTATATGAAATAGCTTATCCATCCTATTCTGGTCCCTACCAATAGATTTACATACTATAATATTCTCCCCATTTCTTCTTTCCCTATTTGGATATAATAATATTACATTTTATAAGAATAATAGAGCAAATATTAAAGAAATGATCATGATGACGATAGATTATTAGCGATGATTAAAAAAAATTAGGTGATTCATTCAATTTGTTTTAATTTTAATGGACAGAGTTACTGTTGCTGGTGTGAGATAATATGTGTCCCGTGAAGATAGTTAAACTGCACGAAAATTGGTCCAGACATCACAATCATCCAAAAAAAAATGACCATGAAGACTTGGGATATAGAGAAAGTCTTTTTTATCTTTCCCTCTTGTCGAGAGCCATGTTCTTGAATATTAATATAGGGAGTCGCGACGAGGAGATCAATAGAAAAAAGAGATTAATCAATTAAAAGTTTATCAATTTTTTATTTTTTTTATAATCTAAGGGGAGCTTAAGTTCGACCTATTGTTTCAATAGTTGCTTGGCAAAAATTAAGATTCTGATAAAAATTTTACACAAATTTACAAGTGCAGCGTGATAGACAAAATAAACTATAACATTTCAACTGCATCAAAATAAGTCTTACTCTGCAAAAAAACAGCAAAATCCGATCCAATTTATCGTAATCGATTAGTTAACATGTTGGTTAACCGTATTCTGAAACACGGAAAAAAATCATTGAGCAAACTTTGTACAACTCCTCAAAGGTCCATTAATTAATCACCACATTTATATTGTAAATATGTAGTTAGAATTAATTCTGCCAACTTAATAGAAATAAGACCTAATACAATTCCTTATTGAAGAAAGATTTGAAGAACCACTTATCTAAAATTTCAATTAAAAATCAGATTTTTTAGTAGTCCTCTTTTTTTTATCTAAATAATTATATTAGTAGCTATCCTAAAATTCTTATTGGTTATGTATTTCTCCATATTAGTAACTTTTAGTTGAAACACTCACTAATTTTATATGAAAAAAGTAAATAAAAAAAAATATGAAAACAAATTTGGCACATTTAGGATTTAGCCCAAGTCTATGTTAATTAATTAATTACACATTTAGTATTGTAAGCTAGCTAAAAAGAGAGCTTTAGTTGGGCCAAACCTTTGATACAATTGAACCCTACTTAATTATAGAGTTGGCTTAAGAAATTAATATGGACTATAACAATTATATTGGTCTCACACTATCCTTTTGCATTCTCTATAGTCTATACATTCATTTTATTGATTTATTAACTCTGATATTAATTGCGCAGTTTAAAATATATTTTTAATATAATATAATATAATATTATTCATTTTAGGGCAAATCTCATGTGATTTTCTTCCTATGTACATTTTTAGGCCTAGGATGAATCTATAACATAAATTACTAAAAATTAAATGCCTCCCCTAATGTTAAATTGTGGTACTAATCTTCTAGTTTGCCTATATAAAGATGAGTTCATGGATTCATATCATATATCATTTTTAGTATAATTATTCACAATTTTAGAATTTAGCTTCCCATTTTTTACACTATTTTCCCCCCTAACAATATCTACACAATGGAATTATCTAAAATTGAACCATTTTTAGAAGGCAACACTATTCTCATTACTGGAGCCACTGGATTCCTTGCAAAAAGTACACTTTCTTTCTCTCTCTCTCAATATATATATATATAGACACGTATCAACAATTTTTTATTACTGTATTTTTAAAGAGAACGATATATTTATATGTTTGAAAATTATTGAACTTTTGATTTGTGTTGATTTTCCACATCAATAGGAATATCGATTATTTGCCTTCTTATATATATGGTCCTTGAACACTTTTATCCACAGTTAATTTTTGAAGTTGAGTTAAATTTGAGATATTTCGATCTTGATATCCGATATGAAGCCTTATTTTATATTGTTCACACTTCAATATCCAATTCCGAGTGTATGTTCAGGGAGAAATCGAACGTTCCTATCTAGGTTGGTATGTGGATTATTTGTCTTCTAATACATGTTTGTCAACAATTTTTACTTTAACTAACTTTTGGAGTTGAGTACGATTTATGTTTTTTAGGTCATCTTTAATAATATAGATACATAAATCACATGATATTTTTAAGATAATAACTTTTTTTATATATATATTTATTAATTTCATATATATCCCTTTTGTAATGTAGTTTTAGTGGAGAAGATACTTAGGGTTCAACCGAACATAAAAAGACTATTCCTTCTTCTAAGAGCTTCAGACACCGAATCAGCCCGAAAGCGCTTTAATGTTGAGGTATTAAACATATTATTATTCTTTTTGATAAAGATTTGTTTGCGTGTACCTCAATAATTTTATTAATTATAGCCTTAATTATATTAATATGTTATATATTATCGATAAAAATAGAAAATTACTTTTTCTTATTAGAACCTAGATATGTGGAAAGAAATTTCAAAAAATATCATTTACTAAAAATTTACTTTCTTCGTACAATTATAGTCATCACTATCTATTTGCATCTGGAAATCATCACCACCAAGCATTAATCAATTTTTACTATCAATCATCATCGATCATTGTGCACCTATTAATATTGATGATCACTAACAACCATCATTACACGTCATAATTGTTAACCATCTCCGCAATCGTGATCATTATTATCATTCACCATCTCTTTTAGAATGTGTTCCTTTAAATAAGCAGTTTTTTAATTAAAATATCATATAAAGTAATATTTCCTCTAATATTTTGAAAGATATATTTTTTAATTAATATTTTATTTAAATTTAAATTATTGCTTTTAAATAATTAAAATAAATCACATATATGTGCGTCCGCACACACAAAACAAATATTGTAAATTATCGGAATAATGCACAAGTACCCCTTCAACCTATGTCCGAAATCTTAGAGACACACTTATACTATACTAAGGTCCTATTACCCCACTGAACTTATTTTATTAATAATTTTCTACCCTTTTCGGTCTACGTAGCACTGTCATGTGGGCCCAATACTAGTTGACTTTTTTTTCAAGCTAGTGACACGTAGGACGAAAAGGGGTAAAAAATTACATATAAAATAAGTTCAGGAGGGTAATGGAATCTTAGTATATAATAAATGTGCATCTGAAATTTCGGACATAGATCGAGGGAGTACTTGTGCATTTTCCCTAAATTATCCATAAATGTTATGAAGCATATATGATTTGATGGGATTTGATTTTTTTTTAAAAAAAATTGACTTGCCAATTTTATTCACAGATTTTGCAGGCTGAATTGTTTAATGTTCTAAGAGAAAAAATAGGTACAAATAACTTAAATTCTTTGGTAGAAGAGAAGGTATTTCCAATTGCTGGTGACATTTCAATTGAGGATTTTGGAATTGAAAATTCAGAGATGAAACATGAGATGTTAAAAGAAATTGATATTATCATACACTCAGCTGCAACTACTAGATTTGATGAGAGGTATATAATCATATGATTAGTTTTAATAATATATCGACAATCTCTTATATCAGTAAATTTCATTTAGATATTCGAATTAGATTATGTTTTAATTGAGTGCTTCAATATACGAATAGGAACACTTCCCGTTCTAATTTTGAAAATAAATTATTTGTGATATCAAACGTCTATTACATAGTTAAGTAATTATCTATATAAATCATGATACCTTCTTTAATTACATACATTAGTTGCAATTGGAATATACATGAGGTTTTACATGTTATTGATTGGCTAATGTGTATAATTAAAAAGAGTGATATATTTGAAATTTGTTATAACTTATCTACGCAATGAATACTTGAGAACATGCGTAAATATTTTTGTGTAATTTGAGTTAGAAGTGTCTAATAAAAACACTTTATTATGCACTCAAATGCTTAATCAGAACAAAACATAGCTTGAATTTCTAAATGAAATTAACTGAGAAATTTTAGAGGTTATCGATATATTCCTTAATTTTAGTGCAAGAAATTTTGATTTATTTCTTTATGTCTAGTTTAACTAGTATCATTTTTTTCTTCTTCTTGTAGATATGATATTGCAATGAATATCAATGTGCTTGGTGCCTTCAATGTCCTCAAGTTTGCTAAAAGATGTGCAAATGTCAAAATTCTTGTTCATGTATCCACTGGTCAGTTTATATATGATGCACATTTTGGGACATACTTAATCTATTAGGAAAATGTACAAGTACCCCCTCAAACTATGAAATCATAAATACACACTTATACTATACTAATATTCTATTACCCCCTTGAACTCATTTTATAAGTAATTTTCTACCCCTTTTCGGCCTACGTGGCACTAGCTTGAAAAAAAGTCAATCAACATTGGGCCCACAAGATAGTGTCACGTAGGCCGAAAAGAGGTAGAAAATTATTAATAAAATAAGTTCAGTGGGATAATTAGGATCTTAGTATAGTATAAGTGTGTCTCTGAGATTTCGGACATAGGTTGAGGGGGTACTTGTGCATTATCCTAATCTATCAGATTTTTGTGTTTATGATTATCATTATAACACACTTCGAAATTGACTCGATCAATTGTTTAAATATATTCATCAAAAAGGCGCGTGCCAACGCTTATAAAATTTCATCCTATGAAATTTGACTCATTAATTTTGAAGCGTGTTTTGATGAACAGAGTTACTGATAGTTCAAGTAGAAAACACAATCACCTAATAGTTTAGGTAGAAAATTCAAAAAAAAAAGTGATACTTCGAAAATGTTTTAACTATTATCTCAATATTTGACTATAAATTTAATTTATTTCTAGTGTATTATATTAACTCAAGATCTCCCACTACACTCCTAATTTTGATAAATCTTTATAACTAGATTAATTTTGAGACGATCAATAAATATGTCATCTTTTATGTATTGTTTGTCTCACAGCTTATGTTGGTGGGGAAGGAGAAGGTGTTATATCAGAAAAATCATTCAATTTTGATGATTACTACATAGACATTGATGTGGAGAGGAAAGTGATAGATGACAAACTTAAGGAACTTGAAGCTCAAAATTTGACATCAAAGGAAGTGACAATGGCCATGAGAAACCTAGGCATTCAAAGGTGAGTTGAATTTTTTTAACCATAAAGACAGGGGCGGACTCAGGTTGAGCGAAGGGGTGTCGTGTCTTGGCAAATCAACGCGCTTAAACTTCATGTACAATCAAACATGTTTCAATAAAATGAAAGGAGGGAGTATGTCTATAAAGAAGAATATTTTATTTTAAAACTCGATTTCTAGTCAAACAAGTTCATACTTATATTACATCAACATGACTATTGATCATTTAGGGCAAGTTTACATGGATGGCCAAACACTTATTCCTTCACAAAAGCAATGGGAGAGATGATGTTAGGACACTTCAAAGAGAATATACAACTTGTTATAATACGTCCAACGATTATCACTAGCACTTATAAAGAGCCATTTCCAGGATGGATTGAAAGCATGAAGTAAGTTTTGTAAAATTGATATACTTTTTCTATTTCAATTTATGTGACACGCTTCAGATTTTTGAAAGTCAAACCCGTTTACAGTTAAAATTTAAACTATTTCACTCTCGAAAATTGCAGAACATTGGATACCTTTATGTTGATATATGGTAAAGGTATATCAAATGTCTTCCTTGCTGACCCAAACACAAATGCTGATCTGGTATGTCCTTTCTATACTTGTTCAAAAAAATTTAATACGATAAAGTTATTTTCGTGTGATTTATTGCTTACGTTTTGTGACAAAATGGTCATGAAATTGTAATGACTTACAGATTCCAGGTGATATGGTAGTGAACTCAATCCTTGCAACAATTGTAGCACATGGAAATAATAAATCATATCAAAATGACTTCATATATAACATAAGTTCATCTAAAGGAAATCTCTTGAAACTTGAGGATATGAGACTTTACACATTTAATTACTTCACCAAAAATCCATGGATTGACAAACATGGAAACATCATCAAAGTGAAGGAGATTACATTTTTAAGCAGCATGGATAGCTTTCAAGCATACATTTCAAGATATTATTGGCCCTTGTTAAAGGTGCGTATCGTTCTAATTTTATCGAATATCCTAAAGAGATCTCTTTGTTAAAGGTTTCTTTTCAATATAAAGTTTTTAATTTTCTCTTTTTCACCATCTACGATAACTATTCTCGCTCTCTACCCTCTTATTTTTCATGTGTATCTGGTATCTCAGATTCACCAGATACATCTAGTCTATACTAGTGCGATTCACTTGTATCTATGATATATTAGAGAAATTCCACTCACATCCCTCCTATTTTAGCTCGCCTTCCTAGACGCTATTTCAATGTATCTGCACTGATAGCAAATATTTGCATCTAAGTGCATCTGACTTGAAGTCTAATATAAAATATTATTTAATGAGATAAAATCTAATTATTTCAATCTACTAGGAGAATTAATAAATATGATAGAAATATTCATATAATTAGGTAGTTTTCTCCTTATTTAATGATATAATAAAGTTACATTTTCACAATACTACTTTTTTTTTGTTTGGTAACAATAATAACTTATGACTTGTTCTTTCATATGTTTTAGGTACTACAATTGGCAAATGTATTGACATGGTATTATCTTATTGATGGAACCTACACAAATTTAAAAAGGAAGATTGATAATGCCATACGTCTATCAAAACTCTACAAACCTTATGTGATTTTTCATGGAAGGTATGATTGAAATCTTGAAAATAAGATCGATAAAGATAATGCAATATGTGTGATGATCATTAAAAATTATTTATTTTATCGGTGCATATATTTACTTATAAGTACTTATATTAATGGTTGTTGTAAAAGATACTTTACACTATCAAGTCATCTAAAAATTATCTACATGTAAGCCTCTTTAAAATTTAACATTTTGTGATCTGTAATCTTGAAAATAAGACAATCAGAATACCTACTACTACAACATGCTAATTGGTTGATCTGATAGCGTAAAAATTTCATACACTGACGATGTATATTTTTTTAATAATTTATTCAGATTTGATGATTCTAACACCGAAAGGTTGAGAATGAGAATGAAAGATTGCAAGATGGATGATTTGCTCAATTTTGATCCAAGTTGCATCAATTGGGAGGATTACTTCATGAATATTCACATTCCTGGGGTTGTGAAGCGATTAGCCTAACGATCATATTTTTTTAAGCCGTTGAAGACATAATTAAGTAAATTAAATTATATTTTTATAATAATTTTAACTTTTTTTGGGATCATGAAATAATTATTGCACTTTATTATAAGCTTCAGGCATATTAGTTATTCAATCTACAATAATATACTTTCAACGAATTATATTCGTTACTAAGTTATTTTTAAATAGCATTTAAAATAATAAGTTCACAATAATGTAACATGCTTAGTGTAATTTCACGAATGGAGACTTAATATGTCAAGTTAGACTGACAATATCGACAAAACAAATTTATTAAAATCTGATAGAATATATGTCTTCACTTAACAAGTAATGGACCAGGTCCCTTACTACACTAATGAATAAAAACAGAAAGTTAAATGCAGTAAAATCAACATGATGATTTTACGTGGAAACCTCCTTGCTCTAGGGAGTAAAACCACGACCTGTCTCACAGGATTTTCAATCGTTTTCACTAATCTTCAAAAGTAAAAGTAAAACACGATTACACCAAATGTAAGAAAGAGTTATCAATCTCACAGTTAAGCAATAGTCCTCTATTGCTTAACAAGCCTAAGTAGAAAACAATCTACCCACTAAGCTATCCCACCTGGACAACCTAGACTTTTAACAATATACACCAATTCCTTTATAGATTCAGGAATGGTTTACAGTTTAAGAACAAGAGAATGTATTCCCAAACAACTAGACGAAAAGCTCCAGAAATTGTTGTTGTTCTTGGAATAATTCTGCCTTTGCTTTGTAGTAGCCTTTGCAAGAGTTCTTGTTGAATGCCTTGAATCGGACCCGCTACAAACAGAAAGGACGGGGGTCTCGCTGTGGCAAACCCTATTCTGTAATTCTGTTTTTGCCTCTCCATAATAAAACTGCTCCCTCTCTTCCCGTGGACGTAGCCAATTTATTGGTGAACCACGTAAATCTGTTGTCTTGTTTTTTGCGTTTATATTTTCTCGTATTATCTCAAATTCCGCACAACAGTTCTTGAAAAGTTTTCATCAAGTTGCAAAAACTGCTTCAAAATGTTTAGGAAAGTGCCTTTTGTATAGACAAGTCACTTTCCTAAACCTCTTTGCCATTGGTTGGAAAAGTCACACTTTCTGACGCCATCGGAAAGTGTGCACCTACTTTCTGTACCGTCTCCAGCTGGCAGTCGGCTGACTCATCATCATGAGAGCCTGGTACCTCTACTAGGTCCCTGGGTTTGTTTCATCTGCAACACTTAAGTAAGAACCTGCAATACTCAAGTAAGAAACCTGGTACCTTTACAAGGTCCCTAAGTTTGTCAAATCATCAAAACTACAAATAACAAAATCCATTCATAATAAGTTTATGAATATGTTTAATATATTTGAACAATAATAGTATTAAAGGGAATAGTTTATGAATATGTTTAATATATTTGAACAATAATAGTATTAAAGGGAATAATTTATACTAACACCCATAGTTTTATTTAGGTAAAAAGAGATCTTTATTATGGTGGGGTTGTCACACCTCGAACGTATAATTTGATCGTGATCGACACTCAAAATTATTATTGATCCCAAATAAAATTATTGACCTGACTTACTACTCCGTAAGACTAAATATTGTATGGATGTTTTTAAAAGATGAGCTACACAACTGATGTAGAAAACATAACTCAAATAGCTTTATAAATAATAAGTCTTTATTGAAATGAGAATAGATGTCATAATAAGATCCTCAATTACGTACCTTATTATGTTAGTGAAAAAACTTATAAGATAATAAAATTGCAAGGTTACAATAGAAAATAAAATGAAGAAATTAATCTTTTCAGGCTGAGGTGCGGATATCTCGCTCTCTTTAAGGAGATTCAAGCCCACTGCAGCAAATGTTTTCACCGGTCCAGCAGTAGTCCTCTTTGACTTGTCCCCTCCAGGATACAACAGCCTTCAGAAAGTATAACTCAACAACTCTGGACAAGAGGTTGAGTCCAAAGCTCCACAAAAAAGAACACCTCCCTTTTAACTAATAAGAACTCTCTTTTAGACTAATTCTTTCACTCTTTGTTTTCTCTTGTGTTTTTTGTGTGTCCCAAACCAAATGAATACCACCACTATTTATACTACAAGAAGTATTCTTAGAAATAAATAGGAAGATAATGGAGGTAGTAAATAGTAAAGATAATGACCTTAGGAGTTTCATAGGTTACAATAGGAATTACACAGGTTACATAAGTTACAATAGGAGTTACATATGTTACATAGGTTACAAAGAGTAATGGAGGTATTAAGAATGAAATAAAGTGATGGACAACCAATGTTAATGGATGATGTAGAAGTTATTCATTCCAATGTTTTCTTATAACTTCAAAATAAAACAATTTAATATGTTAAATATTAATATTAAAATGCTAATAACCTAACATATTATTCTACTAAGAAACAAATACTGACACAAGAATACTGTGAATTATTTGAGAATTTTTCCTACGAAAATCTTTTACAACTATTTCATGCGAATTTTCTTGCAAAAATTTCTAAATTCTTCAATATTAGAATATGTTACCTACGGAATGTATATTCCCAACAAATTCTGTAGGTAAATTTGGCGTCATTTTGCGTAAAAAATGAACTTGCGATATTACCTGGGGGAAAGTAATGGTAAGTACATTGTCTCTAGCTAAATCCGCACGTACATGAACCAAAAAGAATATTTTAAACTTTTTTCTTATGCCATAGAAAAATCCCCAGGTAATCAATCCTACAGGTGTTTCTGGAGATATTTTGGTGAAAATTTATCTTCTGATTTTATTACTTGGGAAATGATTTGGGGATTAGTTGCTGTGAAATTTGTTGGGAATTTATATTTGGAGATTTATGTAGGAATTTTATTACTTGGAAAATTATTTGGTGATTAATTGCTGTGAAATTTGTCGGGGATTTATATGCGGGGATTGACCTAGAGATTTTATTATTTTGAAAATTATTTGGGATTAATTTGTTGCGTAATTTTCTGGGGATTTATATAGATTTACCTAAGAATTTTATTACTTGCAAAATATTTAGAAACTTTTTGCTACAAATTCAGCTGAAAATTATTTTTTGAGAATTTACGTAGGAATTTCGTGAATTTAAAATTAACAAATTATATAAAGAACATTACAATAACATTAGTAAAGTAATTTTAATAGGAAAATTTTAAAATCGAAGATAACAAATAACAAAAAGAAATAAAAAGTTAAACTAGCTAGTGAGCACGTACTCGGATTAAAAAAAGGTGCTCAAGGAAATTAGTTTGTTGACTCATTATTGAGATTGTTGATGGGTCATCACCAAACGAGAAATCAAAGAGGTGAGAATTCGTTGTCCAAAGATGATAGAGAAGTATGTATATCTTCACGACCTGAACAAGGGGAATATATATATATATATATATATCTTCACGACCTGAACAAGGGGAATATATATATATATATATATATATATATATATATATATATATATATATATATATAAAATCAATTCTTATTGATAAATATTCATTTGCACGCACCTCAATAATTTTATTGATTTTATCAATATGTTATAAATTATCTATAATTATTTTCTTTGATGGATATAGTATTTCATTATTATTTTATTTAAAAAAAACTGTTGATTTGCAAGTTCCATTCACAGATTTTGCTGGCTGAATTATTTAATGTTCTAAGAGAAAAAATAGGTGCAAATAACTTAAATTCTTTAGTAGAAGAGAAGGTATTTCCAATTGCTGGTGATATTTCAATTGAGGATTTTGGAATTGAAAATTCAGAGATAAAATATGAGATGTTAAAAGAAATTGATAATTGATATTATCATACACTAAGCTGCAACTACTAGATTTGATGAGAGGTATATATTCATATGATCATATTTACTTTGGCAGAATATATCGATAATCCCTTATATATATATATATATATATGGACGATGTCAGTAAAAATTCATTTAGATATTTGAATTAGGTCATGTTTCAGTTGAGTAATTGAAGAAATAAATGGAAGCAGTTTCCATTCAAATTTTGAAGAAAAAATTGTGTGTATTCTTAATCATTTGCTACGTAGTTAAGTTATCCACATAAATTTTAGGCATAATATATATATATTGGATCTTAAATTTTCAAATTTTAACTTTGACCTCCAACTTTCATAATGTATAAACAGACATTTTAACTATCCAACTTTTAAATAAGTAAACACATGAGTTCTACATGACACAATACATGTAGGACACCACGTAGGACAAAAATGACATGTTGGATGACATATAGGACATGCGTGTCTGTTTGTTCAACTTTATACAAATTTAAGTGTGTACTTGTGCACATCCAAAGTTAAAGGACATAAATGTGATTTGAAGCCAAGTTAAAGGGCATAAATATGTATTATGCCTAAATTATATTACCTCCTTTAGTTACACACATCAGCTTAATATACATGATGTTTTACAAGTTATTAATGTAATGTGAATAATTAGATAAGTTATATATTTGAAGTGGTTAACTTATTTACGTAATGGACAGTTGAGAACAAACACATATATTAGAAGTGGTTAACAGGAATATCTTATCATGTTCTTAGCCAGAACAAAACATAGCTCGAATGTCTAAATGAAATTAATTGAGAAATTTAAGGGATTGTCGAAGTATTCCGATCTTATTTATTTAATTTTGTTGCAAGACATTTTGTTCATATATCCACTGGTCAGATTTTTTTTTTTATATATGATACTCATTTTCTAAGTGAATTTAGAATTTTTATTTAATGAGTTCAAGATTTGTATGTTTGGAAAATGACTTGACTTGTTGTTCATATCATATTAAATACTATAATATAATTTAATACAATTATCATCAACAAAATCATTAATAAGATTAACCACTAAACACTTTTCATGACCACATTTTTAAGTTTGCCTAAAAAACATCACCCTTTTTCTTCACCACATTTTTAACGAGGAATATATCTGTTCTGATTTCAAAGTTATAAATAAATTGAGTTTATAGCCAAATATTAAAATAGTAGTACAAGCAAATTTAGCACTAGATAGCGTTTAATGACCTTTTATTAAACATAAAAATATCATTAAATATGAATAAATACAAGCAAGGGAGGCAAGGTCTTACCATACTAATTCTAATAAAATACCTAACATTTACTACCTAATAAGCATGAAAAAAATAAGAGGTAGAGAGAACTAAGTATTTTCTAATCACCACAGAGTTTGTAATACACTCCATGGTGATATTACAAAGGAGGTGCTTAATTGGAGCAACGGTAAAGTTATTTTTGTCTGTTCGAGCCGTGGAAACAGTCACTGATGCTTACATTTTGTCATGAATTATAGATTCCAGGTGACATGCTGAAGTCAAACATTTCATGTTTCATTATTTTATAAAAAATCCTTGGATTGAGAAAATGGGAACAAAATTAAAGTCAAGGAGAGATTACATTTTTAAGAAGCATGGATAGCTTTCAGGCACATATTTCAAGATATTATGGGACCTTGTTAAAGGTGCGTATCGTTCTAATTTTATCGGATGTCATCCTACGAACTATAATTTGGTGGCTCTAATCATTCAAACGAACGTGGGTGACATAAATTTAATCTCAAGATTGGCCCATGAGGTCATATATCATGTAGAATTTAGTTGAGAGAAAGATTGTGTGATGTCCCAACTTAAGATTAGAAGTCCCACATCGATAAAATATAAGAGAGATGTTGGATACTTAAATAAGCAGAGCTTACCATCGTTTAAAATTCGTGTAGGACTAGACCCAGATTAAAGCAAAATATATCACTAGCGAGCTGAGCTGTTAAAAATGGAGTTAGTTTTATTAGTCTATTCATATCTCTAGTAAACTATGAGACTTGAATTGTCATTTGGCCAAGTATTATTATAAAGTTATTTCTTGAATAAAGTCTTCCGTGTGAGTTAAGACTTAATCAAATGTTTGAAGTTCAAATATTAGGTTGGAGTCAATGAATTACTCTTCAAAATAGGATGAATCGATATTAATAAAATATTAAAGAAATAATTATCTCCTTATAAACATTAGATTAATAGTCCCCAAAAAATAAAGCTTTAACCATATTAAACGAAACATAAACAACAAAATATGTCTTTTAGCCATCAAAGTAGTGTTATCGACTCCGTATAATTTTGAATAATGGACTTGCCAAGACATCATTTAATCCAAATAATTTGAGCGACATACGTTATTTCATTGAACTCCAAGAGATGCGTTTTTATACTTTTAATAACTTATCAAGTCCACAACTAATTATATAAGATGTATAATATTTAGATCTGTATGTAGAGGCCTTGAATAGGAGAAAAACTCTCACAATGATGAATAAAATATTTGTACCACTTTTTGAAAATATAAATATATATTAATGAAATAATTACATATCTTTTCTAAAGACCTTAGTGATGAACAACTACATATAAATGAATAATTAATAACAAAATTTAGGGATAATGCCCAAGTACCCCCTCAACCTATGCCCGAAATCTCAGAGACACACTTATACTATACTAAGTTCCTATTACCCCCCTGAACTTATTTTATTAATAATTTTTACCCCTTTTTAGCTTACGTGGCACTATCTTGTGGGCCCAACGATGGTTGACTTTTTTTTCGAACTAGTGTCACGTAGGCTAAAAAGTGGTTGAAAATTACATATAAAATAAGTTCAGGGGGGTAATAGGACCTTAGTATAGTATAAGTGTGTCTCTGAGATTTCGTGCATAGGTTGAGGGGGTACTTGGATATTTTCCGCAAAATTTATAAACACTTAGAATCAAATCTTTTTCGTTTTAAGATTAAAAAAACATTTCATTTCTTCTTTGGATAAACTATTCTTGACAATTTATCGTAGAGTTATACTTTTGAAAAGACTTGTATTATCAATATTCAAAAGTAGATTATTGACGTAATTCACCATTGCGCAAAGTATGGATAAATTACCTAATATATATTAATACTGTTAAATATAATATAGTGACAATTTCTTATTGAAATTCAATCCTTTACTTATCGTAGAGATAGATTCACACATAATTTAATAAGACTATTATCTATTTGATAGTGTTGAATAAATATTGCACTAATTATGCAGCAATTATAATTTTACCATGACACAACCGATTAAATAAAATATTATATTATATAGACTAGCAGTATTTGGAGCGTCATGATTATTTTATTTTGGATGGTCAAATTAAAATCTATATTTATTGGACTTTATGTAACAACTTAGGTATCTTAAATCTTAATGCAATAAATAATTGATATTAACATTCCATAAATTTAAATTAAAAGATTATTTTTTTTAAAAAAAAGATTTTAACTATATCTGTTTAGGTAAGTCATTAACAAGAATTAGATTCTGCAATTTAATTATTTTTTCCATATTTTAGAATGTTAGATTGAGCATTTATTGCTTTATTTTTATTTTTCTCATCCTTTGTTTTGTGTTCTTGTTTTTTAATTACATTTCCTAGTTTCATGTTTGTTTATCTTTTCATGTTATTCTCGTCATTTTAGTGATATATGCAAGTTATTTTCTATAAAGTTTATTTACTACAAAAAAATGCTAAATTGTTTTACATTTCATTTGAATGGGTGTAACTTTTGAAATTTCTTATTCTTTATTTTTAATTTACAATTATACGAACATATAGAGTAAAATTTCATAAACTGACCTATCAAATCGTTGTTAAAATAACGATAACAGGAAAAAGTATTATTTTTATCATAAAATACATAGATATATATTGCGTACAAATAACTTAAAGTAGAGTCAGATTATTAATATTAATACAAAAGTCATACAAATTTACATGACAACTACGTTCGCCAAGTTCTAATACTTGTTACTTTTATGGAAAAGTTTTTTTTTTTTTCTATCTAGACTATTTCACCATCGACTACATGATAGAACCAGTTTGTTTGTCAAGCACCTCGTTTATCTAATAGTATATTTTAATTTGTTTTTATTTTTAATTGTATTATAAGTCTATGATCCTACAAAAGAGAGCAAGCCATTAGAAAATATATATCAATTAAACTCTCTAGTGAAAAATATATTCGCAAATCAAATGAGAGTCAGAGCCAAGATTTCAAGCTTATAAATACAGATTTTAGTTAATCTATATATTGCTAAATACATATATTCATGTTCTATATATAATAGTGTAAACATTACAACAAAGAAACATGTAGTGGCAATTGATTTTCCTTATGTTATTGCTTCCAAAATTATCTTTAACAACATTTAATATAGCGGTAAAAAAAATTTTGCATCTAAATACTTTATTTATCATAATGATAGATTCACACATAATTTAATAAGAGTGTTATCTATTAGATAGTGTGAAATAGATGTTGTACAAATTCATTTTGGATCGTGACACAAATATTCATGGGATAACTAATACATGATTATTATTTTTTTTAAAGAAATTTGCTAATTTCTATAAAATGACTCCTAAATTACCACGATCCCCCCCCCCCCCCCCAAAACACCTTAAAGAGGGATCTCATAAAGTTATTTAAGAAAATCTTATCAGAAACCATTTCACTAAATAATGGAAAAGAAAATCTAAACATACGATGTATATGGAGATATATAATTTTCACTATTAGTAAATCGTTACTTTCTGATTGAATTTGTGGAATTTGACTCACCAAATAAAATAAAATAGAAATATATCAATTAGACATTCTTGAAAGAAAAAAATTAATCTAATGCAATTGAAATGAAAGCTAGAGTCGGGATTTCACGCTTATTTTATTCCGTATGCATATCATTTTATACATTCCAACAAAAAGACATATCGTGACAATAAATTTTTTTAGTGTAATTAATTAGCAATATTTATATAGAATATAAATTAGACATACATATATATATATATATATCTCAATACCGTTAAATATAACATAGTGACAATTTCTTATTGAATCTAAATTCTTTATTTATCGTAGAGATAGATTCACACATAATTTAAATGAGTATTATCTATTTGATAGTGGCAATTATATAATTTTACCATGACACAACGGATTAAATAAAATATTATATTATATAGATTAGTAGTATTTGGGGAGTCATTAAATAAAATATTATATTATATAGACTAGCAGTATTTTGGGAGTCATGATTATTTTATTTTGGATAGTAAAATTAAAATCTATATTTATTGAAACAACTTAGATATCTAAAATCTTAATGCAATAAATAAATTGATATTGACATTCCATAAACAAGATTTTGACTATATCTATTTAGGCAAGTCATTAACAGAATTAGCAATTTAATTATTTTTTTCTATACTTTAGTCAGGCTAATTCAACATTATTTAATGATTTGGTCTTACCAGACATGTATAAATACAAAGTCTTAATTTTTATTCAGAGATAGAAATTCACTCATATATTCTACTCTTTTATATCTTGTGCGCTAAAATATGTCTGAAAATAGGGTGTGTTTGACCAGTAGCGATCCTGGTGAAGAAATTAAGAGGAAAAAAATTCTAGATAAAAAATTAGCATCGCTGTGTAAGAAAGCACACGATCTATCTGTTCTATGTGATGTAAAGGTCGGAATAGTTTGTTCTATCCCTGAAAACCCCGAGGTTTTTTCTTGGCCGTCTTCCATAGAGGCTCAGAATACAGTAACTGATCATGTAGCTTTTCCAAAACACAAGATAACTATGCATAACGACTTTCTTCGATTAAAAATTAAAGAGCGCGAAGAAGAAATTAGGAAATTAGAGGAAACTGTTGACAAGATGGAAATGGAGAACCTCTTCAATGAAATTCTCAAGGGAAACAAACGCCTCGATGAAGTAAATGTTGCCGAAATAAAGGGTTTGTTAAAGTTAATTGCTGTTAAGAGGGCTCAATTTGAACAAAGGAAGATCCAAGTTAATCAGATTGCTGCTAATAACAACGGTGGAGATCCTTAGAATGTTAGATTGAGCATTTTAGTGACATATCAAAGTTAAATTGTTTTACATTTCCTTTTAAATGGGTGTAACTTCAGAAATTTTCTTCTTTATTGTTAAGAGTAAAATTTCATAATCTGATCTATCAAATCGCTGTTATAATAGTAAAAGCATTACTTTTTTTCATAAAATATATTCATAAATGAAATGAGAATCAGACAAGATTTCAAGCTTATAAATTCGGATTTTAGTTACTCTATATATTGCTAAATGTGTGTATCCATGTTATATATCTTATAGCGCATAAAATACAACAAAGAAACATATAGTGGCAATAGAACCATACTCGAAAAAATTGTTCTCATGTCCAAGTTTCACGAACCAAACTAGGGCTCATAGAGGCTTCTACAATTCGTAGAAGGGCCTCGTGGACTCAAAGTCTTGAAACACCCTGTATGCTTTCTACGATTGAACAATTTTGCATCATTTTGAATTTGGAGTAAATAGTTATGCTTGTTTTAGTGAAGCTATGTCAGGAAGTCAAAGTTCCACGAATGACACTATAGACGGTGGAATGTTCCACGAACCATAGAGCCTTTCGTGAAGGGTTGCGGCACTTTTCTTTAGGAACTTCCTGCACGTGTTCCAAGTTTATTTTGGTCCTTTTTCAAGCTTTTTAACCCCATTTTAAATCGTTTCGAGCTTTTTAACGGAGTATATCATTCAAGTAACTAGATTACCTTTCAAAATCATCAATCTAAACATTCATATATCTAGAAATTCTATCAAAGCTCACCTAGGGTTCCTCGTCTCAATCAAGAACACTAATACTTCCATATCAAAAATTCTATATATAAGCTATGAGCTAAAACAAGCTCTACGAGCTTGGTATAGTCGCATTAATACTTATTTCAATACGATAGCTAGGTTTTAGAAAATTTCCTTTTCATTTCTAACAAAATCACCTATAGTATAGACTATTAGTATTTGGAGTGTTGTAAATTTTTTTTATTTTTAAATAACATTAAAATCTATATCAATTATACTTTATGTAACAACTTACAAGTCAAACATCACAAACATTAATATAACTTATTGATATTAACCTTCCATAAACTCAACTTCAAGATAGATTAATGTATACCTTAAAAATCATTAACTCAACAACTCATAATTATTCAATTGTATGGTCTTATCAGACATCTATAAATATAAGCGAAACATTCAGGGATAGAAACTCATATCTCGGTTAAAAAAAATGCAAACACAAACACAAATACAAATACAAACAGAGGTTTTAAAAAAAAGTTACAACAAAAACAAAACGAAAAAACAGAGAGAGTGAATTAGGGCAGAGGAGGTGCATCTTCGGTCTTAGAGCCATCGACTTCATTTCTTGTCACAGCCTGCTCCACGGCTGCTCTTGCAGAATTAGCAGCAGCTTCAGCTTCACTGATAGCCAACGGGAGATCAAGCCCGTCTTGAATTTCATGAAGGGTGTTCACTCGGGTTTTTAGGGCCACCCAATTCCTGTCCATTTCAGCTTCATACTTATCAATGTTGTGTCTCACCTGCAATGCGTTTAGCTTGGCTTCAACTCGAGCTCTATCTATTGCATCCTTATGACGTAGCTCATGAACCAATGTCAAATCAGCCTCTAACTTAGCCACCTTTTCTTGCAAAGTATGGTGCGTGGAGTTAAGAATAGCGAATCTGTCCTTTCTTAAGGAGATTTCCCTGAGTAGATTCTTGTTTGCTTTGGTTAGAATGTACAATTCAACTTCCTTCTCCTCTTTCTGCCGTTTAACCTCTTGAACCTTTTGGTTCAAAGAAGTTATCGTAATCTTTAGAATCTCAGTGTTAGTCTGGAGCCCTTCATTCTTTGACCGAAGCTCACTTGCCACACCCTGGAGCTCAACATTCTTTGACTTGAGCTTACTTGCCTCGGCCTTGAGTTTTCTATTCATTGTCCGGAGCTCATTTGCCTCAGCCTCGAGCCTTGCATTCTTTGAGTGGACTTGACTATATGATGTAGGGTCCGAAGGCTTGAGGAATGTAGTTGACTCTACTAAGGCTCCCTTCACCTCGGGCATTGTACCCCTCTTATCAAGACTTTGGAGAAAACGCGAATTCATCACTTCTGAAACCCTTCTCTTTTTTGTTGAGACGGGTGTTTCAGAATGGGGAACCCCATGTTTTCGATTTTCTACAACCCTCATCATCATACTTTGAATGTTACTAGCAGCGGCCCCACATGAAGGTGGCATCGCAATGGGACCTACAAGAATTTCCAAAAATAAAATATAAGACATCGGAAATATAAAACCAAAAAAAAAAAACACAATAGACAAGACACTTACCGCGGTTTTTGCCCTTGGATGGAGGTGTAAACACTTCCTCCATAGGTTCGTCTATAGGGGCTTTGCCTATTCGACGTTGTGGCTGAACAATTTCCTTTTTACCCCTCTCCGCATTGGGAGGAGGGGGTTGTGAGCTGTTCATCAAGGATAGGAAAGATAAAATGTCAGAAAAAACACATATGTCGTTTTCATTGCTAATGAAAGAAATCAAGTATATTGTATCGAATCGACCTTGGTACACTCATGGTTCCTTGTGACATATTTTCTATGTCATTTTCTTGTAACATGTCGTAGCGCGAAAACCAATTTCTTGGAGCCTAATCGAATAAATGTACAAAAAAAAAATTGTAATTATATTTATTTTGATTTACAAAAAAATATTTGAAAATGTAACAATTTATATGCATCAATTATTTAAAGAAAAAAAAAGAGTAATAAATTACCATAAGAGCTTTGAGAAGATCAGAGGATGACTTAGTTTCACTATGAGGGGAAGTAGAATCATTTGATGACATTTTTTCAATCAAATCCTGTAAAATAAATTGAAGAATTACAAAATAGACAAAAAGATTCATGTAATTTAATTATTATTATATAGCAAAATATATAATTAACATATATTGAAGTCTAGAATATTAAAATATATAAACAAGCAAGCAAAAAAAAACAGAAGATATTAATATGAAAGTTCAGTACTCTTTTTTTTTGTATATATCTATGTTACTACATGTTGTTAATGGCATTAAAGATTTGTGTCAAGAAAATCTATATTGGATTATTTTAATTAGTTGAAAAATTCAAAACAATCATTTAACTGAAATTAAGAATTCAACTTTTAATTATGTAATTAATGTTTTGATACATATAATTTTTCTAGTAAAAAATCATTAATTCTAAGTGAGACATTATATTGTTTTTATTTATAGTAGTCTAAAAATGTAGTTGGCATTCAACTCTTGCTTATTCATTTAAAAATAATTGTCTAATTTGAAATCCCCACCCAAAAAAAAAATTAATAAGGGAAAAATGATAAATTTTAAAATCTTTTAGGTATAAGAAAAATAATTTAAAAATTTTATATTTTTATTCACAGCAACTCACCCTGCATTAGGTAATTAGAATTGTGACATTATTATTTATTCAAAAAGATGTATATTTAAAGGTTTGCTACAATAGAATATATTCAAGTAAAATTAATTTAGAATTGTTAGCACGGTTTATATGGGTAAAATTATTTTATTTAAAATCTAAAAATGAATAAATAAATAAATACAAATGTATGAAACAAAAATAAAGAAAATAATCCTAATTTCTTTAGGTTATCTTTGAAAGTGATTTAACTTTTTTTCTTTTGAAACAATTCAATTTTTTAACTTTATGATATTTCAAAATTCAAATCTATACCATTTATGAGTAAATTTTAATGTTTTTTCCTTTTTCACTCTATATGTTGCGATGCAAAATTTAAATTATTTAATCTAAAGAGAGAAAAAAACGAATGTAGGTCTATAGACTTGTTAATTAGGACTCACAGAATAATTTGTTAAAAAAATAAAGAATTACAAGAAAAAATCAAGCGAGAGTATATATGAGAAACGAAACATAAAAAGAGAGAAAAGTACCTTTTATGAGTTTGAGATATCTGGAAAAATCATTTATAAATAAATGTTGATGTTTTTTTTTCTTTTTAAGTACTGTATATATCGCGATACAAAATTCAAATTATATAATCTAAAGAAAAAAACGAATGTAGATCTATAAACTTGTTAATTAGGACTCAAAGTATAATTTATAAAAAAAATGAAGAATTAAAAGAGAAAAATCATGCTAGAATATATATGAAGAAATGAAACATAAAAGAGAAGAAAGTACCTTCTATGAGTCTTGGGATTTGTGGAAAAATAAAGAACAAATTTTTTACATTTATAGGATTTTATAAAATTCAATGAGAAAAAAAATGGTCAATCAAGTTACATCTTTATTTAATTTCTAATTATATTTATTATGACAGTAAGAAAAGGGTAAGGACAAAAAATACTAATTTAAATGATTTGAAAATTATTTTTTCTTGGCAACTTCTTAAATAGTTCCAGATCACACCACAAATATATGTTTTAAATAAATAACTTGTTTAATTTAGGAAAAAGTATAAATATATTTCAAATCAAGTTAAACATTTATAGAAATTAACTAAATGTAATCCCATAATATACACTATAAATTGAAACTAAATTTTTTACCATAGTTTTGATAGTTATACTGGGAAAAAAAATAACATTTTGTTAAAATCGACTCTATAAATCAAGTGAAGAGATTGTAATAATTTATGAATGAGGACTATTCAACAAAATATTATAAATCAACATAAATTATACGGAATACGTCGAAATAAAACTTCAAGGGCTATAATATAATAATTTTTTTTTGAAAAAAAATAACTCTAAAAAATAAAAGTTAAATGTTATTAGTACTCTTCTTATTAACAAAATTATCCAAACTTCAACTTGCTAATAGTTGTGCTTAGTCTCCTCTTGAAAAACTAAATTAAAATTATCCCAACAACAAAAAATTATCTTGGGTTAACATTAGAGAATTTTGAATATGGCATAATACATAAATATGTTCTGTAATTTTGGATGTGCATAAATAGACACTTAAACT